TAAACGTAAAATAAATTATTATGATACTTTTAAAATTGCAAACACATTTTTATTAAGTCCTAATAATATGTCGTAAGTAGACATGAAATGTAATAAAGGGGACTTCTTACAAATTTGACAAGTAGTTAAAGAGAAATAGCACTGTCAAGAGTGACTCTTCGGTTATTTAAAGTTGGGGTTGGCAGCACTGTTATGATAACTGACTAGTGAACCCATGCTACATTCTTGTAGTTTTATTTGAAAGTTTTTGTTTTAAAAGACCATGCTTAAGAAACATGCACATTGTTTGTTTCTTTCTCAATTTCAGTTATTTGGGCAACAAAATTAACTACCCTATTTTTCCCTAATACTGTTTACACTTGTCTTTGATAACATCAAAAGAATCCCAGTGTTTTAAATGGGGGACTGGTGCACGTGAAATCAGTTGGGTCACAAAGTCCTCCAAGTTCTCATAACAAATTAATACCAGTTCCCTTGTATTTTGGGTTGGATTAAAAATTACAAGGCTACAGAGATGAACATTGGTAGCCGAAAACTTAAATTTGGGTCAGCTGTTCAATGATGGTTAGAAAATCAGTTTTACAAGTCGCTATATTTAGTAATTTTATGTAATTATTAGGTACACAACTGTGTGATTTTAATAGTAAATTTATATTTTCATGAATAGCCCATACGCACATTATATGGTGTTTTACCTACGCATAAAATATGGATAGGTCGTAGTACAGCAAACTTAGATTTGCCAAGTTTTATGTTTGGATGCATTTGCTTTAAAACTTAATATGCTTCCATCAAGGTGTACAGAAAATGTCTTTTTTTTTTTTCTTTGTTTTTTTTGCTTTGTGACTTTCTGTCCATTTTCTCTGAGCTCAGCTCTACCAGAAGTCTTGTAAGAAAGCTTATCAGATGAGTAGAAATTTATTACAAGTTTTTTGTTTCATCCGTAACTTTGTTGCTAGGCTGTTTTTTTTTATTTTTTAGTAAGGTTACAGAGTATGCATAGAACTGTAAAACGTTTTCTTGGAGATGCTGGTAATGCACTTTTGGCTTTTTTTGTAGCTTTCCCCAATGCCTGAGGAGTATTATAAAGAGAATATCCTTCTTGAATTTCTACTGCTTGTATCAGTGCCTTTATATATTTCTTAGCCTTTTTTTTCTTCTTTTTTTTTAATTTATAGATTTTTCTGTTAATGTTCTTTTTTTAAAATACTTCTGTTATCATAAATTTTCGTTTTATATTCTTTTTTTTTCTTCTTACAAACATCTTTTTGAGACATTCTAGTTCTATATTCTCTCATTCTTTTTGCTGCTGTTTTCCCCATATTGATTACTCACTCAAAAAACTTTTAACTGTAAAACACACTATCAAATAAAAAATGGCACAGCTTTGAATAAAAAGTGTGCTCTAACAGTAGAGGAACTGGTTTAAACTAGTTGAATTAGGATGCATTACCACTTGTTTACTTTCCTAGAGTTCCTTTTTAATGACCAACCAATCAGCTTTGTTTACATTTTGTGCATCTGAGAGGACATGTAGTTTTGCCCTCTCTGTTACACCCCCTCTATTATATGAGAAACTTCAACATTTGAATTTTTTTTTTTTTTTAAAAATATAACATAATATGATTTTTCTACTAGACACTATTTTAAAAACCAGTTATTAAGTTAAATGGTTGTTTTTGTAATGAGTAAAATAAACTGAAAAGAATAATTGTAACAAACATATATTTGAGATAATTTTTGACTGAAACAAAAAGAAAGAAAAAAAAAATTTTTTTTTGAGGGAAATTACTGCATAATTAGACTCAGGAGCAATTTATTTTACATTATAAATAAAACATGTAAAATCGTAAAATTTTAAATAACTTATTCTTCTTTAAATAGATAATTTTTTTTTGCAAAACAAGTCAAAATCATGAATGCTCTATATTTATGATAAATTTTACTCTTAATCATGTGTAACTCCTAAAAATAACTACTGAATTCATAAATTATGAAACATTTCCTTTAAAATGATACCAAATACAAGGATATTGCTTAAACTTTAAAAATTCAATACTGGTTTCAGTTAGCATGGTATTCAACAAATAATAAAATAAAAATTTTAAAAAAAGAGTAAAATTTAAAGAATTTNATAAATTACAAAACATTTCCTTTAAAATGATACTAAATACAAGGATATTGCTTAAACTTTAAAAATTCAATACTGGTTTCAGTTAGCATGGTATTCAACAAATAATAAAATAAAAATTTTAAAAAAAGAATAAAATTTAAAGAATTTTATCTAGTTTTTTTCTATAGAATATGCAACAAAAAATTTGGCAGTTTTGCATTTACAACATTTATTCTTATATATTGAATATCTCTTAAAACAATAATGCTGATCCAAAATGAGCAATATTATTTATGTACAGTAGAGAACCGATTATCCAGAACGATCGGGACCATCGCGATTCTGGATAACTGATTTTTCCGGTTTTCTGAATCGCTACAAAATGCCGTTTTTTTTTTTTTAATGTTTATAAAACGAAACTAAAAAATTATTTTGAAATAATTTTAGAAATAATAAAAAATGATAAATAATAATACACTTAAGTTTAAATAAGGAAAGAAATTATGAAATAAAAATTATATACAGGCTTATTAATGTTATTAATAACATATATAAGCTATTTGTGCTTATATGAGATTCGTCTACAAACGGCTTTTGATCCGTCCTCTATATCAGTTCTTTCGTCAACTCGATACGCCGCATGTTCTAAATAACAAAATGGGCTCAAAATCTTGCAGGAAAAAAAAAATTTTTTATGGAAGAAAATTTATTTCCGGTTCCGAATTTCATTCAGATTATCTGTTTTTCCGGTTTTCTGATTTACGGATAAGATGTTCTGCACTGTATTTGAATTTGATTTCAGTGAACAAATGATTCTTTTTTCCCTAAAAAAAATACGAAACATCTTAAGTAAAGTTAGAAGATGAAGACATCTGACAAAAAAAAAAAACAGACATTGCCACTTTCTCTTATACAAATGATTTCATTCTGGAAAATTTGGTAACCATGGGCAGCACATTTCTAGAAAATTGAACTCTTCTTCTCAGGAATCATTTGGTTAATTTTCTTCCTTTTAAGTATTTTAACAAATTGTGAAGATTTATAGTTTTTAGCCAAGAAATTTTTAGTTTTATTTGAAAACATAAATTTAATTTTTGAATGAGCTTTTTTATTTCTATTTGTTCATTATTTTCTTTTTTAAAAATTCTAGTTAAAGCTAAAAGAAAGCTATTGAAAATTTATACATTGTTATGTTGCATGAAGTAAATAATTTGTTAATGATAACTACTCTTACAGCCAGAACGAATAGATCCTGGTAGGGCCAGAGGCTACGATGTTAGATCTGATGTATGGAGCCTAGGCATAACTTTGGTAAGTTGGATTCTTATGTCTGTGGCTACTATTTTTGCAAAAAATGTGACGCCTAATCTAGACATAAAGATGTCCAAAAATATATTATGTTTAATAAATGTAATTCTAATCAATAGATATTATATAAATATAATATAATAAATATTAAATATAATTAATAATAAAAATATATTATATGAAGATGTCCAATTTCTATGAGACCTGAGTGGAATGTTTCTTCTTTCTTTAAATTTTACTTATGGAATTAGTGTATTGGGACTCTCCCAATTTTGCCTAGTGGGCTAATTTAAGTTTCGGGATTTATGGTTAAGGGTAGGATTATTATAATTAGTTGTGTGCTTGCATACAATGAACCGATAGTCACACATTTTTTTGTGAAAAAAGTGCATAATTATGGGAATGTTTAAGATGTTGAGAATGATGTTTTCAGACATTGGTTCTAAACTGATCTTTAAATGTATTAATCATCTCCTTAAAAGTATTACATTTATGAAACTAAGGGGACAACAGTTCAATTGTGGTTTAATCCTTATTACTGTATTTCTAACTCGATTTAAAGTCGGTACTCAGGATACGGTGGAGATATGATTTTAAAAGAAACATATATTTTCTCCTTTTTAATTTCTGTTTTAGAAACCGATAAAAAGTTCAATGTTAACGAACTATCTGTTAATGATCAATTTAGAGAGTATGTTAGCTTAAGCTGCTGATCAACTTTCTTCTAATGGCATTAAACACTGATAAAAATTATTAATTTTAGTTCAAACTGGTATTTAAGAGCATAGAAATTTTAATATTCTTATTTATAACGAATTGTTTTCTGAGGTGAGATAAAGTGGCTATACCTTTAGACTTAGTTGCATGATAGAGATTTTTTTTCCCTCTGTGTTAACTTTAATAAATATCTAATGCTCTATATTTTATAATGAAATAGCTACTTGTTTGATTATATCCTCACGTATAATTTATCTATGGAAGAAACTCCCCTTGTCTAAGGCGGTGACTATGGTTACGAAGTTTTACGATTTCAAGTAGAGATCACTATTTAAGATAGGCTTTTATGACTGTGGTTGGAGAGAAAAACTAAATCACGGAATCACTCAGTCTATGTGTCAAGGGTTGATAACCATGTAAATTAACCTATAAATACCTAATTTTGATAACCCTGAACATTAGCTCTTTTTTTTAAATATAATTAGGATACATTTACTTAAGAGCATTTTTATTTATGAAACAATGTTTACATATGTTTTTGTAGTGAAATATATACTAATTATAAAACTATACCCACTTTACTAAGTATATACTAATTATAAAATATACCCACTTTACCCTTAGGTTAATGTGGGTATATTTAAACATGTTCTTATGAATGTATTACTGTAAAAAAACAATTAAGCAAAATGAATAAATTATACTTCATATTTAATCTATATGTATCAAAAGTATATAAAATGTATAAAAATTTTTGGTAAGAAAACTTTCGTGATTTGGTTCTTAAAGCCTTCTTTTTTTTTTTTAAAGGTTGATTTTATACCCACTTTACCCCATCTGACCCTTTATTTTCAGCATTTTAACAGTTTCATCACATAAGACCCACATTTTTCTTCTGTAATGACACCGAAATCAAAACTGACTTATTAAAGAAATTATGAACTCGGTATCTGTGCACCTGGAAAGTCATGAGAAATCATGGAAAGTCATGAATTTCAGTATGTAACAAAATTAGTAATAAAATGTCATGATTTTACTATTTTTTAAAAAATATCATGGATTTAGGACGCTTAGGTTTTTATCATGTTCTTTGAAAATTATGGTGTTCTTTCAAAAAAATGAAGGAAAAATCATTTCTCAAGCAAATTATCTTTTAAACTTCTGTCATTTCAGAATTTTTGTTTTTATTTTATCAATTTCAAATTCTAGCTGAAGCAAGCCTGTCATTGACGATTTTTTTAAATTTCGAAATGAGAACAGAAAAATCAGGAGTATTTCTTTCTTTTTCTATGAACAAGAAAAGTATCTGAAGAATATAATTCTCCAAAAAAAAAATTTGCTTTTTTTTCCCAGCTATTTTATTGCTTCCACTCTTTCTTTACTTTGATTTTTAAATTTAATATCTATGAATATGAAGATGCAGAGTGTAACAGTTTTGGTTATGCCTATCATTTCAATGAATGTTATTATAATGCTTTTTTTAATTTATTGTTGTGTTTTTGTCGTGAGAAAATAGTAATTTCGTTAAGTCGTGAAAAATTCTTGTAATTATTCATGAAAAGTCATGAATTTGAAAATCTAACATGTAGCAGGTACCCTGTATGAACCTTAATTTGATAAATTGATTCAAAGTGTCCCTCACATAATAGTTTTAGTCTTAAAAATTGATTTTTCTTCAGCATGTACTTTAGCGGCAGCAATAAAATTTTCCTTTTTTTTTTATTCCTTCCCATGGAATCTTTTTCTTCACTAACTGGTAGCCCAGATGAAAATATTCATAAATGAAAAATACTCATTTTTCGCATTTTAAAAAATATTACTTTATACCTTCCATTTTCTAAGGAGGGCTTGATGCCTTATCATCTTTTGTTCAACAACAGAAAGATAAAATAAATACTAAAAATCACAAGTTTTTGCCCTTTATGCATTTCTTTAAAATAAAATAAGATGCATTGTATTTCAGGTTTCTAATTATACATGTATGAAAATTAGTTAATTTTAATGTATTAAAATGTGTTTTTCTTCCTCATAGAAAAAAGCCATATTTAGAAAGAACATTGAACCAATATAATGGTTGTGGAACATTACCAAAATAAAATTTATGAACAACTAGAATATATGAATGTCCTTTTAAGATTTGTTTTGTATTACTGTTTCTATTTATTGTTTTCAGATTGAGGTTTCAACTGGCAGATTTCCTTATCCCAAATGGAACAGCGTTTTTGAACAACTCACTCAAGTAGTACAAGGCGACCCCCCTCAAATAAGTCCTAACGAAAATGGGAACACATTCACACTAGAATTTGTTAATTTTGTTAATACTTGGTAAAAACTTTTTTCATTCTCTATTTTAATCTCTAAAATTCATGAATTATAGTGTTCAACAAACTTATTTAAGTGGTATTATCAGCTTTTAGCAATTTGCACTCGCATTTTTAAAATGAAAAAAATGTTAGTTTTTAAAAAAACTCCAGGGTACGAAAACTCCTGCAGTAACAGAAAAAATCGGGTTCTTAAAGTCGGATGTTCTATAAAGTTTGGATATCATCCCAGAAGTGGGGAATTTAGTGATTACTCAAAAATATTGACTTGTGCTGTTGTGCAATTGCTAAACCGTGTGCAGTTTTTTGAAGTCGTATAAAATATAGATGTAAATATTTTATAATAAAGATTAAATAAAAAAAATTTTAAGATACACACGTTATGTTTACATTTTTGTATGAACTGTGGACAGCCTCGACTTCTGTTTCCCCGAGTTCCTCATTAAATGCGGGTCATTCTTAATAGCTTTTATATGTTAAAAATTAAGATCATTCATTGTAATTATTTGTACTTTGACGAATCTAAAGCATATTCACAGGGTTGCCACAGGCGACTATTTGTGACCTCAGGCGACTATGACAACTTTTTTTGCCTAAAAAGGCTTTTTTTTTTTAAAAAAAAGCAACTATTTTCAGGAAAAGGAGATTATTAGGAGACTTTTCTGTGCTCCTAGTTGTTTTATTTTTTTTTAGCATAAATTGGGTTGACAGCCTGCACAAAATAAAAAAAAATTGAATTGCAAATTTGAGTCATCACTTTTTATTGCGTTCAATTTGAACAGATTCTATTCTAAATCTCTATTGTTTCTCAATTGCTTTTTCAACGGTTATTACTGCGAAATTCTGCATGATTTTAAAAAACCCGATTTTTAATACGATATTACAATGTGTGAATTTCGAATTTGAATAATCACTTCTCTCAATGTATGTATGTATGTATATATTTGCTGAATCAATTATTAGTTAAACTGAAATTTTTTTAGAAAAAGAATGTTTTTTTTTAATAAAAAAAAATTTTTTTAAATGGTTTCTAGTAATTAATAGTATTTTATTTTCTGCAAATATACTAATTTTTTTATATAAAAATTTAGTGCTTGAACACTAATGTTTTTATAAAAATGATCATATTTGCTACCACCAACATGACTAAATTGATCATGGTGTATGACAATTAAATCATTTAATAAAATTTTAGTCATATTTTTGTTCGTATTTAGGCAACTATTTTCATAGTTTTCGGCAACTATTTTCATGCTTTAGGCTACTAAAAGCAACTATTTTGTTCCTTTTTTTCTGTGGCAACCCTGTATTCATGAAAAAAATTAAATGAAGTAAAAAAAATTTTAATTTATTCCTTATGTTTGATTTTTGTTCAAATTTATTTTGCAGTTTAATTAAAGAAGAACAACATCGGCCAAAATATAAAAAGTTGTTGGTAAGAAACTTTTGTCTTTTTTATTTGTGTGTGTTTATTTTCACAATTGATACTTATTCAATGGAACCATGTCTTACGAGATATTATTTTAAAATCTAGAAGAAAAAACTTATGAATCTTGTCAGATAATTACAAAATTTATTTTTTAAAGTGTTTTACCTATTCGATAATAGATGAACTATTTTAAACCTTTTACTATTTTAAACTAACTATTTTAAACCAACTATTTTTACCTATTATCTGCTGAGTTCCATGAAAATTTAAAATCAATGCAATAAATATTCAGTCACAGAATATTTAATTTTGTTCATGCCTTCTATGACGTCCAGATCTCTCCCGGGTGACCATCAAAGGAAAGGAAAAATATCCTTTTTATTTAATTTTCGTAAATAAACTGCTGAGTGATATTTACTCCATTCGACACTTGATCTCAATATAGCATGTGCAGTATTTTAGATCCTCCAATAATTTTTTGTGAAAAATTATGCCGATGCAACTCTTTAATGAACAGTTTTTGATAAATAGTTAAATAGTATACTGTTCCTTTTTTTTTTATATATATATATTTGCTCTTATGCCATAAAAATTGCTTAATGTTAGCTTCTTCCAAATCGGTTCTCATCAGATAAAACTGTAAAAAAATTAATGCCAAACTTTTATTCAAAATGGCAAACTATGATAAAATAGGATTTTTTACATTATTTGAAAACCAATAATTAATTGAAAAAAATAAGGTTGAAATTTGAAGGGGAGAAAAATCGTTTTACAGGGTTTTATTGCTTCAGAGAATATTGCAATATATTGAGAGGTGGATAACATTAATTCATGTGCAAGTGCGTCGGGACGACGAAACATTATTGTAGTAGAGGGAGGTGTTGTTGTATCGGATATCGTAGTAGCCAGAGTTCACTGTATTTCACTTTGAGACAATTTTTTTAAATTTTATTTTGATCATGATCATACTATGATAGATGAAATTATTGGAATTGAGAACATTTTTGAATTCCTAATAATTTAACTTAACTCTTTGTGTATAGTTTTCCCACAAACTTCAAACTAATTTTGATATATTAATTAATATTCAACTATGTATTCAAATTTTTGGGGGTTTACTTTTCCATAGCAAAAAGAGACTCTTTTTTTATTCTAATGCCTTATTTTGATGCTAAATTTTTCAGGTTGTTTTTAGAGTGTATTTTTTTCCCCATTTTCACATGAGAATACAAAATTTCAAGTCTTACACCATGGAGTTCTGTTTAGCTTAGCTTAATGCCTTTTATGTAAAACAATTTGTACCATTTAATGTAGTTAGATAAAATTCAGAAAATAATAGAGTGGGTTGATTATGCAAACAGGGCCATCTGGAAAAAATACACTGAGGGAATGTTTAGGTTTTTAAAACATCCCAAACAACTAAATATTTTTATTTCTTTTCCAACTAAGAAAGTTCTATTTTAGTGTTTTTACCATCTGTTATTTATTTTTTTTCATTAAATAATAAATTAGGACAATAAAGTACAGATTTTATATCAAAATGTTCTCGATTACTGATAAACCATTTCCTTTCTTCAGAGTTTGAGGGCTCAACTTCTCGGACTATGTGCCCGCTATTGTTCTAAATTCTCTGCAATTACGTCCGTAGTTCTTCGCTCGCATATCTTGCCTTTTTTTATTAAATTGTATGCTTTATTTGCAATAAGTTAGAGGTAACCTAACCCTGACCATTATCGCTCAGGAATCCCTTTGCTGGGTACTTGACCTGCAGTGGAATGTTACTACTGATAAGAATATTGGAGTGGATTGATTTTTAGTTAGAATTTAATTTCCTGAAAAATTCAGCTTCTAATATTGCTTATGTCAGAGATGATTGTACTTCGGATTAGAAGGTTTTTTGCTAAACGCGATAGGGAATATTTCGGAAATCCAGGGTCATGAAGTTTCGAGAAATCATCAATCACATTTATGTATGAAACTTTTTGTATAATTTATTTAAAAATATTAGAACTGGAATTTATGCTTGGCATGTCTTTCATTTGTAAATATTTTTTCCAGTAGAATAATAAATGTGATTAGAAATAAAACTAAACTTATACATTATTATTCATTTAAATTATGCTGCATATAATTTACTTAAAATTTCATGTTTTCAAAATATCAATGATTTAAATTAATAAAGCCATTAATTTTTTGAAATGCGTAATTAATGATTTTACTCAAGAAATTTTCGGGATTTTGGACTCACAACCACCCCTGTTATGTGATTTGAATTTTATACTTAAAATTTCCTCTTGCAAACTTACCATTGGTGATTCAATACTAAGGTTTGGCTAGTAAAATGTGCATTTTAAATCGATATACCATATTTTTGCCAAAAGTGCTTATGCTTTATAGATGTCACAATGGACTAAAAACTGTGTGCAGAAACTATTTAAATACTGAAACGCTTAATGATTTGAGTAGAATTTTGAAAAATAGCCCCCCTAAATAGTATTTGACCCTTGGGCTGCAATTGATAAATGTGACGAAGGGTAGAGGTATACGAACATAAAGTGTTAAAAGAATTTCTCATATGTTAATTTTGTGGTAATTTTCTTATTTTAATGATTTCTTCTGACATATGGATGATAATGGACTTCATGGCAAGCTTATTTTAATTTAATGTTATTATTTTATATGAGTATGCAAAAAATATGATACAATTTTATACATTTTGTTTTGTATGTTTTATGTTTACTCAAAAGAATCATTATTCTACATCTGTTAACATTTTAAAAAGATGGAATGAGCATTTCATCACACAGAAGATCGTTTTAAAAACACATCTGAAAAAGAATCAGACTGAGAATTTTCAAAATCTATATTTATTTTCATAAATATCAATACCAAGGCTAGTACTTGAAATAGTTTTTAAAAAAATATTTGTATTTTATTTTACTGACTTCGCTATGTTATCCTACAAATAGGACAAAAATAATATTTTTGTTAAGCTTTTGGGATTATAAAAATGGATTTCATCAAAAAGAGAGGTAGAACAAACGTTGTAAAATAATACTTCAAAAACTAATTCAAATTTTTTTTTTTTTAAAATGGCCAAAGTTTTTTTTAATTTTAAATAAAAGAGAAAGTGACTGCAATAAAATATAATTTTGCTACGATTATTTTTTTTCTTCATGAAGAAGGCTCATAAAATGTTATCAAAGAACAGAAAAATTTATTTAATCATTGAAAAGCTAATTCAAAATTAAGTTAAATGTGTTGCTCATTTTCAGACATGGGTTGCAAAAAGTACTTAATCTACTGCTAACAATTTTAGAAAAATGAGTTACAGCATTAAAAAAATCTTTTAATTTTGAATAATCAATTATATTTTTGTATCAAAATGCTCCTTAAATCTTTCGAAAAACTGTACCAATTTTTGCATTGACTATTTTTTTGCATTAAGAGACTGAACAGCATTAGCCTCGAACTTTTTCTAAAAGAGTGCGCATTTTTTTATTATATATTTATTGTATTTTTTACTTAAATGAAACATGCATACTAATATATAGTTTGCCTGACTTTGAGATACAGCTGTATAATATTTACAAAAAATTGCATCAATTTAATCTTTAAATGAATCTCTTTCATTATCACTTTTAATTCAATATAATTTTGAGAAATAACAATGGGAAAATAAATATGACTGATACAAAACATCCCCCTCTCTTCTTCCCCCCTCCCCAAAAGAAAATTTAAAAACTCATGCTCTAGTGCAGTGTTTCCCAAACTTATCACTTTTAACCCTTTCTAAATTTTTCGTAACGCTGTGTACCACTAATTAAAAAATGAATGCATTTTTCACTATAAATTTTTTTTACAAAAGTTGCACAACTGCCTGTTGACACCACTAGTTATTAACTGTTAACTCTACAAAAAAATAGCCAATAGAAAAATACGTAATTGTAAATTTTCGTGACTAGCTATGTTTTTAAATAAAATTTTTTGAAATTTTCGTTTGTTGCAAAATATTTCGTATAAGAACGCATACCCCCGCTAAGCTGTTCCCGTACCCCTGGGGGTACGCGTACCACACTTTGGGAAATACTGCTCTAGTCCAACCAAATGGCTGTTTACAATTGTGCTTCTCTCGTTTTCTATTTTATGTATTCGTGAGTTATAACTTGAAGATATAATGTTTTTGGCTAGAAAATTTAATCTCACTGAAAAGAAATTTCTAAAGCATTTCTATCACTTAACCGCTTCCCTTACTGATTTTCTTTTGAAGGAAAAAAAAATTCAAAAAATCAACATATTTTTTTATTTCATTAATAAACACAAAGAACTAAAACAAAACATAATACACAAGTTCTAAGTTGAAATTTTAATTTTTTATGTGTGAAAAATATTCATCAGTTTACTATCCCAAATGATCTGGGGGCAAATGAAAAAAGTTAAATATTAGTCTTTGTATACGTTCACATCTTCATCGTCTGTAAAATCATCTGCATTACTTTCAATCACGAACTCCATTTTTTTACTCCCTTTTTCTATGTAAATTCAATTGTATATACAGTTGTACAAAACACATCTGCAGTTCCGCAAACAGATATTGACAAACTTCCAATCACGGCAGATTATTATTATTTTTGCTTCCGTCCTAGTAAAACCGTATTGACGCATACTGATATGCCCGAGTTTACTCGGGATAATCAGGGGAGCGGTTTAAAAAAAAACCGTTTCTAAGGAGAAAAAATGTTGTCTATTTAACTAAACCACTGATTTTGGATCCATTTATTTCACAAACTAAAAAAAATATCTCAAATATTTTTTAAAAAAACATTCACCCCCCAGAATTATTCTCCCTTGAGCATTCCTGCAAACATCAATGGGGAGAATTTTTTTCATATGTATTGTATACTTTCATTTTGAAATAAAATTTAATACTACGAAGAACTATTTTAATAAACCACAGACAGTTATTTTTATATTCAGATTTATTTCCTTGTTGATTTTTTTTCTTCTCTATGACAATTATTTGGAAATAATGTTAGTGATGTCATTGTCACTCCATATTTACTTCAATATTTGTCAAAAAAAATCTTTCAAATCTATTTTATGTTAAAATTAATTGTATCTGTGCTTTAAATGGATTCAAAATTGTGGTGAAACTTCTGCAAGTGGAGCATTTTCTATGAAATTGTGCATTTGTTCAAAACAATCAATATATTTTGTTTAAAAAGTTGGATAGTTGGTAATTATAATTCATTTGTATTCGTATGTTTAAGCTACGTTAAAAAATTTGATTTACTATTTTAGTTCCAATTAAAAGCAGAGGTCTGTCCAGGCCGAATTTACTACCGTTTAGCGGTACCTGCACAAATTCAATTTTAGATAAAACGGTAGTTTCACAAATTCAACTTTCGGAAAAACGATAGTTTCACAAAATACTTTTTCTTAAAATTTTATTTTTGTTTCCCTTAAGAAACGATAAATCTATAATTTTACCATATTTTTGTGTGGACTTTTTAATATAATTTTTAATTTTTCACAAATTATGTCAAAATTTTCACAAAATAGGTACCTTTCAGAAAAACCTAGACAGGCCCCTGAAAAGGATTGTTTTAAAAGCATCCCAAATTAAAAGCTTTAGCTTCAAACTGTTTAAAAAAAATACAAAGTGGCTGCTCCAAATGACTGTTCCTATTATACAGTCATGTTGATGCCGCAATTCATTGATAATTTTATATGCCTTTCATATTATTACAGTTTTTTAAAAATAAATGTTATGTATAAATAGTTCTATTGAATGCCTCTATAATAGCTGTCCTATTTTCTTAGTTTAAATCCTTTTAAAGATTTAAACTAAGAAAAACTGATTGGTTTTATCTGGCCTGACTAAAATCTATCAACCTCGGGTTCAATTACGTATTTAAGTATCGACCATTAACCCTTTGATGGTTATGAACGAGTTCGGCTCGCAATCGAATCGTGCTTCATAATGTGTGCAAACGAGTTCCTCTCGGGAGCAAGATTGCGACCAAAATGGTTAGAAACGAGCACTACTCGCATAGTGAAATTTTTCCCCAGTGCGAGCTGAGCTCGTTCGCCATTATTATTCTGCATTGATTATGTTACAAACGAATCCTACTCGCAAAATGTAGTTAGTTTTACTGTCTACAAATGGCAGTATGGCTCCGATGAATTTATTTTCATAATGAAGGGGGAATTTTTTTTTACCTTGTTCTTTTTATGTGTATTTTGGCACTTTTTTAGGGTGTTTGTAAAGTAAAATGGCTCAAAAGCGAAAGTTAGATAATTATGATGATGATTAATTGTTAGGTAATTACTGTATTTAAATGCTTCGTTAAGTTTTACATTAGTTGCATTTATTTAGTCCTTTCAATTTAATATTTGTCTTATATTTATAATTAACTATTATTATTTATATAATTATGAACATTTATAACTTACTATTAAATAATTATCATTTATTAATAATTTTAAAGTGCATAAAAACTGCTATTTATGTACTACAAATACTTTAAGAAATTTTAAACAGCTTGAGGCAAGCTAGCTACGGCATCGCCAGAGAAGGGTGACATTTTGGGAAGAACGGCGGGGAGAAACAGCTGCCACTTTTGACGACTGTTTACTCGTTAGACTGTGCAAATTAAGTAAACGAAAACTGCCCTTTTCCCTAACCGTCAAAGGGTTAAAGCTGAAAAAAGGCATTTTTCACAAAAATAAAATTTTGATGGGTCGTACTTTGAAGGTTATTAAAAAAATTTCTTAAAAAAAAAACTTACAGTTTTCATCAGAGCTAGTGTGGAAAAAAAAGGTAAGTTCAAACAGTAAAAATAAAAGTTTATATAATTTTCTTACTGTTATGAAGTGCTTGTTTACTGCAAAAATATTTTAGATTTACTATGTGTGTCTATGAGAAAATGGAAAGCAAATTTGCCGTCACACAAGATAGCTAAATGTCAAAACAAAAAAAACAAAAAAACTCTTACTTTAACTGAAATTTTCCTTTAAAAAACGTGAAATGATTGACTATATAAAGCTGATGGTTAAGAATGAAAAGAACCCCCTTTTTTTGTTTGTTTGAAGTCAAATAAAAGATATGTGTTTTAAAGATCACCTTTAACATTCTTTTAAAAAGTAAGATAAAGAAAAAACACATTGGGAGCCTATCAAAATCTGACACATTACAGTTGTGGAAGACCAAAATCTGTTGAAAACCAGGAAGAAATAAATGGAAATTAAAAGAAATACCTTGAACCACAGGGTTTCTCCTCAATACATTATTTCCCTATCTATTCTAATGTCTTTGCAACTACAGATTAAAATAAAACTTTTTTATGTCAGTGGGTTAAAAGTTTCAACCTGAAATCAAATAGGCTTCGATATTCTTTACAATTATTTTCCTCGGAGCCCTGATAGAGGGTTCGCCTTCCAGAAACGGCTGATCGATACGAATTCAATATCAGCAGCGGTGGTCAGAAGTACCGCTCTAGCAGTAGGTGAAACTAATGTAGTCTTTACTCATTCTTGTAGTGTATTGTACTACTTTTTTATAACCTAGTGTAGTGCGATACAAAAAACAGTAGCGATTTCTGGCAGCTACTTTTAACGTTAGTTTAGTAAAGCTCTAACGGAACTCATTTTTTCACATTTGATGGGTAGGGCCACGATGGCTCTGGGGATAGAGTGTTCGTCTTCCAATGAGGTGAACCGGATTCGAATCCCAGTCAATACAAATTCCGCATCCGGCTTGCACCGACCACAGTAGTCCCCTTGACGTTGTGAACTGTGGGAGGTTCTCATGGTCTTCCACGAAAGCAAATTTTTTCCAATTTTTGATACAGGAGTTCCGTCGTCTTCTGGGTTGGATTCGAAATGACGAGACTGCGGAGTCGAACACGCGTCGTCCGATCGGCTACGGTTATAAAATAAAATTATTTTCCTCAACAGTGACTTTCTTAGGTTTTAATATTGCTTTTTTTTTTTATATATAAGTTCATATTTGTGAGTTCTAGTGTGTGGACTTTCTTTGTCTTAATTTTTATAAGGATTTTAAATCTATGCATTAAGGGCAGTTTAGTGTGGAACATTTTGCCTATTTATTTTTTCATGTCCTAACTATCTAAATATTTCTTTTTCAGGAGCATCCGTTCGTGTTACGCTCCGAACGAGAAACAGTCGACCTCGCCGAATACGTGGAGCGTGTTATTGGCAGAGTTAGTAGCTAGTCTCTGATATTTCAAGACTTCATTTCTATAAACGAATGGACTTTACTCAAAATTGAGAAAGGATAGAAACTAAAAATCAAGAGAAAGATTATGTTATATCTTTTTTTTTTAAAAAAAAGAAAGAAAAAATTTAATTTTAATAGAAGATAAGAACAGGGAAAAGACTGTATTGGAAGTGTACAGACTTCTATTTTGCTGATTAGTCTAGAAAACTGTAAATGTCTTCAGAAATTGTGACTCAGGAATTAATAGATGATTCATAGCTAGAAATTTATTTAAATCTACTTATTGATCCTTAATAATGATAATTATAGATTAAATTGTGAAAATTGTCATTCTCAAGCAAACTTAGAATCTATATAAAAATGATTTTATATATAAAGAGAAAAAAAAAGCATTTTTATTGTTTTTTAATAGTTAGCTATTTTATGGAGTGCATTTATCTTGTTAGGAGCACCTGATCCTGTCTCTATCCAAATACTATTGTATTGTTTTTAGTAAGATCTGATAGTTCTTTATTTGTCATTTAGGTCAGATTAGACTCTCATTTGAAGCATTTTACACCATGAAAAAAAAATTTTTTTTTAACTACAAAATTTTACTTTTTCTTAATTTGCCAGATCATGGGTTAAAAATTTTTGAAAAAATTTTCAATAGATGAGAAAAACCAGAAATGCAAATGGATATTAATTTTCTCGATAAAAGCAATCGCGAGAAATTGCTTTTTTAAAACTTGAAATATTATAGGATGCTGAGTGAGTGTTATATTTGTGCGTCAATCAAAGGCTGTGGGAGTAAGGTTAAATATTTATGTAGTTATCGGGTTATTCAATTCAGGCAGATACGCATGGAAAGCCTGAAATGATTTTGTGAACTGCCACCTATCCACTTTTGAAATACAAATTATCTTTGTATCGAATGGATCATTGATTACATTTATTTTATCGAGTTAGAGTGGGTCACGTTCGGTTGTAAAACGATAAAACAAAACGTGTGACTATGAAAATCTTTATAACTTGATAAAACAGCAAACATATAAAGTGAATCCATAACAGTTCATTAACAGCAGTGTTTGAAGTCCGCCCTTCACAAAAACTTTTTGTCATTCCACATTCTCTCCAACTTTTCATTCGACTTTTTTTCCTTTAAAATAATGTCATTCACGAATGAAACATTTTTTTTTAAGAAGCAAAAAAGGATGCTTAAACGATACTAAATCACGATTGTAAATTTCTCAGTTCTAAAAATCACTTCATTTGCCGTTAAAAGTGTTTTTTTTTAATACTGGGATGCATTTTTAAAACTTGAACAATAATTTTTATGAGATTCAGAATGGACAAGCGAATGAGCTATACATGAAGGGATGTTATTTTACCCTTCATCGAGTGAGCGAATGAGGCAATTTAAGACCCACATTCTGAACAAAGAGGACATGAACCCATTAGTACAAGGGTAAACTATTTTAGCTTCATAGTCATTAAACTATTCGTTCCAAACCAAAATTTTTACATTTGATTATTATTTATTTATTTCACTAAAAAGTAAATTGAGAGCTTTTCGTTTACCGAATTCTAGGATTTAAAAAAAATAAAGAATCATACTAGTTTGCTCAAAAGAAGGAATATGTCGTTTATGTTCCGAAGTGAATTTTAAAAAGGTGTAGTCGTGAAAGGTGAGGAATCGAAGTTTAACAAATGACTACTGAGGTAAGCAGGACTGAAAACACCTATCTCTTTGAAGGAGGAAACATGATTGAATAAGTGCTTTTTAATGCCTTCCTCACATCCTGCTGTCTATTTAAAGAACTCCCCTCACCATTCACAGTTTCAGTAACTATGTTTAACTATTTCAAGTAAGGCTGTTCAGTCAATATTTAAGGTAGGCTTTGAAGTCGGCGAGTCAAAGTTCTTGTTTCCATTGTAGCAGACAGCCTTAGACTTTGTAGCAAGGGGAGTTCTTTCTGTAGACAAACTATACACATTAGTGCTCAATTTGGATACTTTATTTTTTGACAAGGGTTTTAAACATATATACAGGGTATCTGTGCACCTGGAAAGTCATGAGAAATCATGGAAAGTCATGAAATTAGGTTGTGAACCATGAAGTTGGAACAAAATTTGTCATGATTTTTTTTAAAAATGGAATTCCCTCCCCCACCCCAATTTCATGGTGTTCCGAATATCTGAATTGGTTACAAAATCCCCGCTCACAGTCATATTTTATTAAAATATAAAATTTTTTTATCATGTTCTTTAAAAATTATGGTGTTCTTTCAAAAAATGAAAGAAAAAACTTCTCTGATTTCAGAATTTTTTTAATTATTTTTTTTTTAATTTTATCTATATCAAATTCTAGCTAAAGTAAGCCAGTCATTGGTGAATTTTTTTTATTTCGAAATGAGAACAGAAAAATCCGGAGTATTTCTTTCTTTTCTGATCAACAAGAAAAGTATCTGAAGAATATAATTCTCCAAAAAGAAAAAAAGATTATTTGCTTTTGTATTTTTTTCCAGCTATTTTATTGCTTCCACTCTTTCTTTACTCTGTTTTTAAAATCTATAAATATGAAAATGCAGAGTATAACAGTTTTGGTTATACCTATCATTTCAACTAATGTTATTATAATGCTTTTATAAATTTATTGTTGTGTTTTTGTCGAAGAAAATAGTAACTTCGTTGAGTCACGAATTTGAAAATCTAAAATGTAGCAGATACCTTGTATATATTCTTTTCTTCACTGGCACAACAGCCCTAGGTGTGCCCTGACCTTCCTCAGAGCAAACACTTAAGCATTAATGTTAAAACTCCTGTCAAATGTTTGATATCAGAGCCTCAATATTATGAAGTTTCCTAATTCATTCATTCTCCGGTCACTTTAATTTTATTTTTAAAAAAAAGGAAGAAAAAAACAGATTTATTACTTTTTATTTATTGAATGAAACATTGAGCTCCATCTTAAATTTGTTTTTAACTGCTCATTTGTTTCTGGGCAAAATAATATAATTTTAATTGAAATTTTTTGTATATAGATTAGTTTCATCATAGTTGAAAGTTAATGAAAAAGATAAGTTTCTTTTTTAATATTTTTATTTCAATGGAAGTGCTTACCAAAATATTTCTAACGTAAATATTTTTTCATATAAGTCTCAACCAAACATTTTCTCAACAAAAAAAAAAGAAATATTTAACTCTGTATAAATGAATTATAAGATATACTGAAACATAATATCAGTTCTATGTACTCCCTCTTTTATCTATATATATATGGAAGAATTTACCCTGACCCGCCCTTATTTAGGGCATACGGGTAAATGTTTATTAAAATCAAAAAAAATACAGAAAAGAGTACAAACATAAAATACACATCAGACATGGCAACAGCCCACATTAAGACATGGCAACAGCTACCAATTCATATATATATATATATTAATAAACAGTTAATCATGATTCCCTTACTGTTTAAGTAGATATTTTCAATATTAATCCTTAATGAACCAATGCCGCAATATAAGTAGCCTGACTATTTTACTTGATCAAATGCCATAAGTATCGCATGAAGAAAAAAAAATTTATTATTTATATTGTTCTTATGCTTATCACACCCACATTTTTAACTATTATGTAATTATAATTTATCTTATAATTGTATTTATACTGGAGGGGAAGTAGAGTTAAAATACTTTCGGACCATTATTATTTAAAGGTAGTTGGTATGAGAAATACTGGGAAAATAAAGTTGCGGTAACACAGCAAACATTCATTAAATGAGGTTAGTTGATTTTTGTCTTACAATTTTGTGTACACACCTCCCACGTCAAAAAATATTCAGTTACTTTAAGCCTCTTTGATATGTGAGACATTGTAAAATACTTTACCATAAGAAATCTGCTTAATCTTTGATAAATTTTATGGCCATCTTAAACAACAATTTCTGTTACAAGAAAAGAGCCTTCTGTGGTTTGATAATAATGGTCATTTTAATAGTTTGTTGGATAGAACTAGATTGTTGTGTGCAGTAATATCTTCAGAGATTGACACTAACAGTAAATAACTTATTTATTCAATAATAACTTTAAAAAAAGAGACATTAAAAAAGGATTCACACTTGTATGTTTAACTCTTCATGAAGGAAGCGACGGAAATTTAATTGAGACTATTTTAATTCTAAAACTGAATGGTCTTATAGATAACTATTTGTAAGTTTTTTTTTTTAAATATTATTTTCCATAAGGTTATTATTAAAATAAATGGCAAAGCCACTTAGGCATGCATTTCCTTTTTTTTTTTTAGCTCTCCTGGAATTTGTACCACCATCTTATTTCATGACATAAGTGGGACTTGCTTTTTTTTCACCTGCCCACAAACGTGTAACATGTTACTTAAGTTGTGTCGACTACATTTAAACTTCTACATTATGATATTGCATTTTATAACCACTGCCTTTACTCTATAGTTTTAGAATTCTTGTTAAAACAGAAAAGTTGAAGATCTGGCAAATAGTAATTGAATTCATTCTGAAGCAAAAATGGGATGTTTGACACATGAACAGACATTTGATATCTATCAAAATCCCACTTTACTCTGATTGGTCTAAATTATTATTCGTCAGATATATTCATTTGTTGCTCCTAGTGTAAGGATAAAATACTAGTACAAAATGAAAAATAAATTTGTTGTCACATTTTATTTTTCTATTTGAAGCAACAACACTTACTTTAGAGAATGTTATTTGAAAAATACATTTGTAAAAATATTCACTCAATAAGCTTCATTCTATGAATATATCTTTCTCTTGAATCTTCTATTTATCTCATCTCATATATTTTTATTGAATTAAAAAAACAAATTTTGTACATTGCCATATTGTAATTATTTATTTATTAAAATGTTATTTGAATACACAGTCTTTCTTTTTATTTCACCATTCTGTTATTGGTTACGATAGCACTCCCGTGCAATTGAATTAACAACGCTTCACGATAGATGATGACTTTCTTTCTATTGCTAATACTAGGAACGTTGCACTATAATAATTTCAGAAAAAGAATTTTTGAAAAGAAAAAATATCGCAGTAAGTCGCTTATCATAAAAAGTTTCAATTTCTAATTTTTTGTGTTTAATATTTCTATTGCACGGTAGAATGATAGCAGCGCTTCCACAACGTATGACTTTTGTGTACCCTTTCTAAATGTTTTCGTGTACCCCTCATAAAAAAAAATGAATGTATTTTTTACCATAAAAAAATTGCACTCAAGTCACAACTGAAACCACTCATTATTAACTGTGCAAAAAATATGTAATCGTAAATTTTCATTTCTAGCTTTGCTTTTTTAAATGAAATTTTCGTTTGTTGCAAGAAGATATTTCGCTTAAGGGGCCGTTCAAAAAGTACGTACATCCCGAAGGGGGGGGGGATTTGCTATTATGTACGGCTTTGTACGATGGGGAGGTATTATACAAATACGTACTTTATAAACATACACCAAATTTAAATTTGGCTTTATCCTACACACTCCTTAAGTAAATATTTAATTTTATTTAAAACATAATTATTTTAATTTTTATGAAAAAGGGGGGTAGACTAATAAAATGTACGTACTCTAAGGGGGGGAGTAAGACCTTATGTACGAAGGGGGGAGGGGTTTAAAATTTCTCCATTTTTGTGTACGTTCTTTTTGAACGGCCCCTAAGAGCGCGCGTACCAAAATGACTTGTTTGTTATTTATTTTTTATGAAATGTGTCACTTTCCTTAATGAAATCTCTGGGTCTATTTTTTGATGGTGGGTCGCGGTTACTTATTACTATTTTTATTAACTGAGCTGAATAAATGGTTTTGCTAGTGAGGTTGTCACCACATTTTGACACTTTATTTTGAAGTAAAACGGAGGTCATATCAAAAATGTTTCATTTTGAGGGTCCCTCATTGTTTCAACCCAACTCTACTTTTTGAAATCCTAGTCGGTGGGACGAAATGATGATGTTCGTTAGAAAAAAAAAGACTTTCATCGAAAGTCATTAAATTTTCATTAGCTGACCACCTTCGAAAGTCATTCAATTTTCATAAGTTATTCAAGATGTATTATCCGTGTTTTGTTTTTGATAATGTTTGAGCCAAGCTGTAAATGAAACACCTCTAACATCAATATGTGTTTCTAATTTTACTTCATTTAAATTTTGAAGATTTGTATCATTTCCTGAAATTATGTGAGGCATTGATATGAGTTTCAACATTCATTTTTAATGTGTACATTTTACCAGTTCTTAAAAGGTATTTACAAATTCAAAATAATTTTAAGAGAAAAAAAGAATTCAAATATTTTACACGTCATGAAATTTTGAATAAAGAATCACAAAAAAAAATACTAAAATGAATTATAACATTTCATCTCTGAGTACAGTATTTCACGAGATATAACAATATGTAGAATGGATGCACCTAAGAATATCTCAATTTTAATAACATATAATACAAAATTTTAATAACATATTTCCGAATCAAGAGAGAGAGAGAAAAAATTAAAAACTTGTATTAAATTTTTTTTTTTTAAAAAAAACCCATCCATATTTATAAATCCTTTGCTTTGATAAAAATTTAAAATATATTCAATACTCCTCAGGAAATACAATAGAATGTATATATAAAAAATTATAATTATCAATACTTTAAATCGACTACAATTCTTAACTAGACACATCATGGGAACCCTTCATTATAGAAATATTGCTTAAACATAAGATGCAAAACAAAGAAACAACTGAACTGGTTTTTGAAACAAAACAAAAATTCTATTTGGAAACAGAATAATTTTTCTAAAAATAACTTACCATTTACAAGCAACGGATCCTTATTGTTGATACAGACACAGAAAGAAAAAAAATCTTGCCCGAAAATAATGCAGACCGAAATTCGTCTTAGTTCATATCACTTTAAAATTGTACTTTAAGTAAAATAAAAAGTCAAAAAGAATCGTTGAAGAAAGGTGAATTCTATGTGACCATTTTATGTCACGAACTCTTCATTCTTAAGTGGACAAAAGGGTAGAAATATTTTCGATTGTTTTGGCAGGTTTCAAGCAGTTATATTATCCAGATGGCTTCTTTTTTTCCTCAATGATTTTATTTTCTGAAGGCTGCATAATTTTGAACAACTGAGAGAGAATGGAATTTTTCTTTGGATGACCCTATTGCATTTTTTTTTCCCCTTCTGGTTTTTCATCAAGAAACCAAGGCCCGACTTCGGCACCTCTCTGTTTCTCTACTTTAGAGTAACGAAGAACCGAACTTTATGAAGGTGTATTTAAATTTTTCACCTCATTATAGATAACAAAAAGATTGACTAGAACCTACAATAGCTATGGTCAGACGAAATATCGTTCTGTCCATTTTATTGATTTTCTGACAATTCTATGTCCATCATGCCAGATGCAGTTTTCTGATTGTTAACTTAGTCATCTAGCCGCGAAAAATTCATATCCTTACTGACATAAGAGCGGAATTCAGCTCAATTTTCGCAATGACGATATTAAAGTGAATCAAAAGTCTGTATTTTTGTAAACATATCGCTTTTTGCGATATGTAAAAAATACAGGCTTCTGAGTGGCCCAATGTGTCCATCGTCATAGCGAAAATTTAGCTGAATTCCGTCTTGGAAAGACATGGATTTACGAGATATAGATTGTGTTCCTACGACAGATGAATGAAGAATCTAACATAAAACTGACAGCTTTTACACTGAATTGATATTTTGTTTAAAAATAGTTCTTTAAAGAAGGAAACGTAAAATAAACTTTCCATTCGATTTAGGGGGCCCCTTGCCTTAGTCAGGCTCTACAAGAAGCCCCCACATAGTCAGCTTGGTTAACAAGTGGAATTATTTGATTGAAAAGCATCTCCTTGTGTCTCTTTTTGCGACGCATGAGTTTGGATGTATCGCCATTTATTGTCAGCACACGATGGCTGGTATTAATTTATTAAGATTTCTTACAGCTAGATCTGATTATAGAATTGAAATAGTGAAGTCAGGACAAGAATATAAATACTTGCATTTAACCTTAAAACATCGGTGCAGGATATACCGGGGAGTAACCTTTAACAAAAAAACATTTCTGTAATTAAAAAAACAGTGAAGGGTATACCGGGCAATAGCACTCATACTTAATATAATAGGGTTAAAAGAAAATTTAATAATTTTTTTATTATTCTTTTATCGCTCACGGTCTGTTAGATGACTCGTGGTGTTTATTTCATTTACGATTGATATGACGGATGAACTTCCGATTCTGTTTTTCAATAATATTAAGCAAAATTTTAATCATATTTACATTTTTAAACATCATTTATTTATATTGTAATTTTGATGAATCGAAACCTTTTCTTTCCCTCATTGCTATATCGTCCAACTGAGCATGCGCTAAATTAGAAATGATGTGATCTGTCAAACGATTTGTCAACTTTTTAAATGTAGAAGGAATTTAGAGCGTGTTCCAAAGGAACCGTTCCGTGTCGGAGAATTCACACTTTAATGGCACGATATTTTCAATTTAATAGTCTTTTTGATACTTCCTCAATAGTTTTCCCCTCTCTTTTTGTCTGCATTTTGATTGGTGTGCATATTGCATCAACACGCATCTTCCATTTTATACAAGCTATATTTGTTTTTAAGATCCTGAATCAACTTTAGTTTATCTTCGTTTTATTTCAGAATCAATCGTTTCCTATGTTTGTTTTTTAAGCTCTTCGCGTTTTTTGCAAATAAAATTTCTTTACTTTGAATTATTCTTTCTATTTGTATCACGTCATGATATTTTATTCCTTTGCTCTCACTATTTTCGGTTTTTTGTTGATAAATTTCCGTGATTAAAAAAAGAAAAGAAAAAAAAGCATTTAGGAAGAAACGCAATTATTGTAAACATCTATTTTTTGTATTGTGAGTTCTTCCAATGACGTGATTTTTCGAATTTATAAAAGCACTTTTAAAAGATCCTGCTTACAACATAGAGATATTTCAGAGTGAAGAAAAAATAAGATATGCTCTTATTTTATTTAATCGGAATTTTATTCGCATTTGGAACTCCAGTGAGTACTGCGGGTGATTTTGCCTTCTGCTTACAACACATTGTATGTAAAGAGAAAGGTAATGTTCTTACCCATCTTTATCTGTTTAAATAGTCCTCTACACAAGGTATTTCTATATTATTGCAACGTATCCAACGATTCATCTACATTTTACCACTTTTCAGCCCATAAATCGCTACCCATCTTAGTGATGGGACACATTTGAACTCGAAAAGAAAAAACTATAATTTTAAATTGTATGTACCATTGTGCCTTGGAGAATTATCCGAGCTTTAGAACGGACAAATTGCTTATGCATTAAAAAAATTGTAAGAGATTTTGCCACCCCACATGAAAATTATGAAATCAATGACTCATTCTCAGTATTTGCCTATTTTTGTGCACCCATACAATAAATACAGCATCTTGTAGAGATTGGATATGAGTTCGAAGGTCCGAGCCTGAAGAATTTGAATCCGAATTTGACCAGAGTCCGAGATAAGCGTCGAATAAAAGCCAAATGTTGAGGTCTCGCCATTCGGCCTTTGATCTCTAAGCAAGGGAATGAGTCATTAAAATCTTTGAACCGATAAGATTGAAAAAAAAGAAACGAAAATAAAAACTGAACCGATTGAAACTCCAGGATGACTAAAACAAAAATTAAAAAAGACAATCAAACTCTTAAGCTAGATAAACGTCATTTGACAGTGAGTGTTAACCTCACAAAGCAAAAGCATAGTACAGTTCGCTGTCATTATTAATACTACCCCTTATGAATATTTTATTATATTGCATTATATATATATATATATATATAAAATAAATTAATATGTTTCTTTGCAGGAGGGATAACAAAGACAGTTTTCTGTGCTGAAAAGATGGTGCAGTCGGTAAAAGTTTATTTTAATCTTCCAAATTTTATCGAAAATCATGCTCCTTTAAGAAAGAATACAAGAGGTGTTTCCATCTCATTTCTTAAAATAAAAAAGTCGTAAATTCGAAGATGAAAAGATTCTTATATGAGTTTTCATAAAATGTATCTCTAAACAATTATCTTCCTTGAACCAATTGATTAACATAATTGAAACAAGATTATAGTTTATGATTACGTTTGTTTATAAAAACAGTTCAGTTTTAACTTTTCATTTCTGTCTAGCGTAGTGTTTTCTTCTTTTCGTTGCCAACGCGAGACGAGAAATTCCATACATTTTATGAGCAATATAAGCGTTTCACTTAACATAGATAGGTTTCATTATAGTCGTAAGTTCGTATCCTTTATTCGAGGTTGTAATATTATATGTTTTGTTCATCTCTCGGCAGATCTATCTATATATTTCTCTTACAAGGTTGCAAAATTCAATTTTATTAAACTACAAATTTTTTCTGAATGAAAATTCTTTTCTCATGTAGGCAGCGAAAAGTTTAAACTTGGAAGAATAGAGAGGTAATAAAAGTGAATAGTTCATATCAACATACAAAGTATTCTATAGTATGTTTTACAAGTTTTAATGATTGGTAAAATTTACCACCTTTAAAGCTACTGAACTATTAAATTGTTTTAGCTGTATATTGCTACACTATTATCATGCAAAAACTGAAAGCTATTCAACTTTTTTAATATTATTTGACTAGTTGATTTTTTTTAAAAAAAAGTTTAATAGTTTATTCTTAAATATTTCAATGTTTTAATGTCCAGGCAATTCTTTTTAAGAAGGTAGTAAAGTTAAAAATTAGAGATGTGAATTGAGATGATGGTAGTCAAACTGTGTGTCATCTTTCCCATCTCTTAAAAGGAGCTTTTTTTTAAAGCATATTTTTTCTCAAAAAATTTAAATAACTCAAATGAACATTGGAAGTCGAAATTTTTTTTCCATTTACAGGTTTTTAACAAATGACGATCCATTCTTTTCAGGACATAGATTTTGTGTTGTTGGCTTTCGGTGAGTATTTTCCAGACCACGTGACCAACATGAAGACTCTATTAGAGAAATGTTGCGAAGAGGAAGAAAAAGGAAAGGAGGTAAATTTTTTTATTTTTTATTATTTCAGGAGAAGAAAAACCGTATTTCAAGCCTCGTGAATTGTTACAAAAGTATATTTTAATAAAAATGGTTACAAAAAACGCGTTTCAAGTTTTTCGTCGAAAGTTCTGCTAAGAGATACCGCGGAAGAAAATTCTGTTTCTCCTNGAAGATGAAAAACAGTATTTCAAGCCTCGTGAATAGTTACGAAAGTATATTTTAATAAAAATGGTTACAAAAAACGCGTTTCAAGTTTTTCGTCGAAAGTTCTGCTAAGAGATACCGCGGAAGAAAATTCTGTTTCTCCTTCTTTTATTAATTTAAAAGAGAGACCTGTCATGAAGTTTCAACTGCTGAAAAAAAAAATACTCCAAATTATTAAAATGCAAACAAATGATGAGAACGTTGCGTTATCGTAATATATTTTCATTTGCATATTTTAAAAATGTTCTTTTCCGTATTTGAAGCTTCATGGTTCACTTCTCTCTAGGTTTGTTTGAACTCACTTCTTTCTTAAATGAGTCATGAAGAAGAAAGAGAATTTGTGACGAAAATTTTCTTCCACGGTATAGAGTCCTCTTAAGTGATCTCCCCCCCCCCCCCGNCCCCCCCCTGCGTCTAGGAGTCAGCCTGATCGGCCATTTTTCTTTTAGTAGCCCAGTACAAAGTAGCCTTCGTGTCAGGACCTGATTATCACCTAGGCCCCACAATTTCAGAGGGCCTCAAAAATTTGTAAAAAGTCCTCAATATTACTATTTTTTAAATACTGAAAGAAACAGTTTGTCTCAAAAAATGGAATGATATGAATTTAAATTTTTTAAAATGTGTTATATCTAAATAAAATTATTATTTAAATGTGTTTTTAATTTTCTATGAGTAGATATAATTTCGGCTCTTTTGGATATTTTTTATGTGTTGAAATATTGATAAAAATTATAATGAATAACCTTAATATATTAGCATACCTTATCGTTCTATCTAATGAAGGGTGGGCTAGCTTTGTGTTGGTTTAAGTACTAAGCAAAAAAATAATCACAGCTTACAATAAAAATAATTCAGCTAATCAGTGACTTATAACAAAAAATCAGTATTATCAACTGTTTGTGGTCACCAAGCTATTTTTATTTTGACAAAATATTGTTTCGTTGCATTATATTTTGCTTTCATATGTAGACTTCACCTTCGAAAAATAATCTTCAATTGTCTGCTTTTAAAATCTCTCGGAATGTTTTTCTTAAATCATGCAGTTCAATAGTTTATTTTTTATTGTTAACACTATTCTTCAGTAATTTAATTTCAAAACATTTTGTAAAGGGCCCAGAAAATTAAGTGTGCCTTTTGCCTGAATTTGTTTTGATCGGTCCCTGCTTCGTGTGAAAGTAATGGATGTTCCTCTCCTGTGAGGGGGGGGGGGTGATCATCGAGAAATGAAATCGAGACCCGATTCGAATGATCATCGAGAGATGAAGCAAATCAAATAATAATAAAACAAAGGTAAGAAAGTAGAAGTGAAGAAAACGGAAATCAGAAATGTAACCCAAAATCCAAGATGTTGAGGCCATTTTTTTTCCGTTAAAAGTGATCGCTTATACATTTTCTGAGTCTATCGCGCGGCTTCACTTTTTATAGACTACCGTAATATTTCTTAGAATATATTTGATTTGTTTGTAAACACATATTTTATTCATATTTCCTAAATGGTTGACTGAAGCATCATTTTGTTACTTCTCTTGAAAAAAAAAAATCCTGATGAAAATGTAGGTTATTTATAAGAAGTTGATGTACTTTCTTTGTGACAGAACTATTGTGTTTAATACTCCTTTATTGTTTATACAGGCCTCCTTGTATTATTATGAAAAAAGAATAAAAAATGAAGGAGAAGTAAGTGTCACTCATTATATATCAAATCATTTCTATTTTATGATTATTTTTTCAGTTTTTTGAATAATCATGAATCACTTTGATCAAACACGCGATTAAACAAGGCACATTAAAAAAAAAATTCTGAATACCTTTTGATCTATGGATCAGTTCTTCACGTTCTGGGACTCAATCTGAATGGTTCGAGGGGATGAACTCAAATATGTTCATGAATGTGTGCAGACGATATTTTAAGTTTCGATTATGTTCGATCAGGCGCAAAAATGTGTTTCTCGGAATAAACGTACTATCTTCTTCTTCCCCCCCCCCAACGAATTCAGATTCCTGCCCCCCCCCCAAATATAGAAGATAGCCGCCATCTTGGAAACGGTGTCACCCTAGTTGGGTCAATAGAGTTATCCTAAGTTCGGACCCCTTCGCGTTAATTTTATTTTTTGCATGCATCGTTATATCTCGAGAACTTTTTGAGCGAATTTAAAATTTTTTACATACAATTATAAAATTCGTTTACCCAAAGATAATCCCATGCAAAAAATAACTTTTAGTAAATGCTTATTATTTTATTTAACAGTCGAGAAATTTTTGAATAGTAAGGTATACAATTTTTTTGACGTCATTTTAAAGTATGTCATTTTGCATGGCAAATTACGAAATGTGAGTGAAATCGGTCGAATAGCTCCTGATAAATAGATTTATAAATAGACGGCTTCTTTAAAATTCGATTTCTCAGAAGGAAAAGAATAATGTAGTTTTTCCGACCACTGGACTGCAATTTATAATCAGTTTTTTTTTTTAATCAGTATTAGAAAGTCTTCCTTTTTCTAAAACTGTAGGTTTAGAAGAACTGGCATATTTTGCAGTTTCCAGATGTTGCTCGTTTCTGAATTTCCATTAATTACATTTCTAAGAGAAAAGTTTAATAATGTCACCGAGGACATTTTGATGAAAAGTTGCGAATTAGGTGGGGAATAAAAAAAAACAAACTATTTTTATATATTCAGGAGTCTTGTTTTATGAGACGCAAAGAACACATTTTATGTATAATCATTTCATTTCTTCTATTAATTTTAATCGTATTCATATTAGAATAATAATGTATTAATATTTTTTTAAAAAATACATTCATTTGTTGTATGTTTTAGAGTGATCACACTTTTGAGCAGAAAAAAGGATTAGCTGAAGCTAGGGTAGGTTTAACCGCTTTTTTCTTCTCTCTCTCTGCTACCGTAATCGCCTCCTAAATGCGAAACACTTTCTTTGTCGTTGCCCCATCTCTATGTAAAGTTATAATTGTAAAACTTAATGGAGGATGACTACTCCATGTTGAGAGGTCATTTTGAAAAACAATTATAACCACCCAACTCACGGACACTATAAATGAGTTATTTTCGTTTCCGAAAGGTGTCCCAAGGTGGCGCTCTTTGTAGTAATAGTAGTTTGCTGCAAGTAAAGAGTTGGCGAGAATTCCCCCACCACTATTTCCCCCTATCCACTGGAACAAAAGTGTGTCGTTAAAATAGGGTATGGATTTAGTTGTGTCATAGGGGTCATTATATTTTTATAACTGTGAACTATATTAAACAATTTTTATATCATTTCATTTTAAACCACTTCGGTTTGTGAAGCGAATTCATATTAATATTTTCTATGTGCATGTTTGATTGATAAACTAATTTTATTTTTAAAAAATCTTGTACTCATGCATCCTAAATGCATGATTCTTGCTTTATAGTGTAACTTTACTGATTCTTATGTGTATTATAACTTATTATAATTACAAATTAGTGTTACCGAACGAAAAACAGGATGACAGTTACTAGGTAGTAAAAAAAACATTTTAGGTGTCTCACCCAGTGGCGTACGCNTTTGAATAATTGTTTTGAATTCTTAGCATTGTGTGCATTTGCAATGTACCTAAGTTAGTAGCGAGCGAAGCGATCTTGGTACGCGAAGCAAACCATATAAGATTGCGTAGCAATTTTCGGGGGTTGGCGAGCGTTAGCGAGCAGGGGGTGCAGCCCACTAGTATATCTATATATATTGGCACAGAAATATCCGCTATGCTACAATCTCAAAGTTTCGAGCTGGGATGAATAACTTCAACGAGCGCTGTATCTCCAATGGTATTGTTACTGATTTCTTCACTAGTCGAAATAGTGGCGACGACGGGTTTCGGCGATTGAAGAAACTTTTTGTTGAGATAAATCAAAACAGATTTAGCGACAAGCTCCGAAAGACAAGCGGCAGAGATAACTCTTAGTCTGACTAACTAACTCCACTGTACTCCGTTCCCCCTTTTATATAATTTTTCACCGCATCTCCAAAATTTTCGAATTGTCTCAAAGACGACAGAACGTCTAGGATTCCAGAATCATCGCGTAAAGACCTCGCGAATGACAGCCAGTCTCGAAAACTATANTAAAATTTGATTCACGGTCCGTAACAGTATCACGTGAATTTGGTTTCAAAAGTACAACCCTATTATAGTAAATGTTTTTTTTCTCATTATTCTGAGAAATACCATGAGAAAAAAAAAGTAGGCATAAGGCAAATAAAATTATATAGTCTTAAAAAATAATAGTTCGCACAATTTCTACTAAAATTTTTATTTTTGACATTTTGTCTGAGGTCAAGGGGGGTGTTTAAACCCCTCCCTTGCGTACGCCACTGGTCTCACCACATTACAAACTATCCTTGTTTCTTTGTGTCTTATAAAACGGTCTGAAGTAATTGCCACCATTTTCGGTGTCATTCCATGAGAATATCGAACCTAGGCTATACATACCCTAGCAACCATTTTATATCAGCACCAGTCAGGCTCAAAATTGTCTCAACATAGGTTCTACCAGAACATGCACCGAATGGACCCATAGTGAGGTGTCTATATGGGACCCACAATGGCTCTATAGACACTCTACTGGATGTATGGAAGCCTTACCTATAAGAATTAATATGGGTCTAATTGGGCCGATATATAAGAATTAATATGGGCCCAATATTCAAAGCCAATCTACGACCCATATTACAAACTATAGACACCCCACTACAGGTCTTGTATTGAAAGCTATTGTAGGACCATTCTATAGAATATAGGACCCTTACAGACTTGCAATGTAGGACAAAATTGGGATTCACATCTATTGGACCTAAAAAGATATTTAAACTCTATCCATTTCTTTATCGAGTTCCCTTTTAAGGGATTTACAATACTTACTTAAATGAGATTTTCTTTTTTTTCGTTTTTTTCACAATTGTCAAAGTACAGTGAAAACATTTACTTTTGAAAAGAAATAATTTTTTCTTTCCTGGCAACATGAGTGCGTGAATTTTCTAACTTAATCTTTAAAAACGAAAGTTTCTTAGAGTGGAAAAAAAAGAATGGAAATAAATTTTATTCACAGAAAAACTTTTAAAAATAAAATCCACTTCAAAGTCACATTCCCTTCACTCAAAAAAGCTCAATTATTCATTTTGACTAAAAAATAAAGGCCGTGTTTAATATTCAGCTAAAAAATAAACCAAAAATGAACTGAATTTAAAATTTCACTTGAGACCATTTAAAAGTCTGAATAAACTCCTCAAAACTTTCAACCTCAAAATGTGTTCTACTGTTATAGTTTCTACGGTTATAGTTCTAATTTTTTTTTTTTACTTTATCACTTTATGCAGTCTTTCATATTCGAAGATCTAGCAAAGTGTTGCCTCAGTAGATAAGAGAACTCTAGACAATTTGCCATTTACGTATTGTACAGTCCATGGCTATATTATTAGACTCACTATAAGATTCTATGTAAAATGATAATGATCAGGTGATACTAGGCAGCTGTTTTTACTGGGATGAAACTAGTTTGCATTTGTTTGCGCTCCTGTATCAACTGGTTAACATTGTAATGCAATACGTTAAAAATAAATACAAATAGGAAGTATGTAACAAAAATCTCCCCAATAAAACCCCATGACACGTATGTTTAAATATAAAAGTATTGCCTCTAAACTCGTGCAAAACATATCATTATTAAAAGACTGAAGTGAGTCTCATCAATTGATTTAATTATTGCAATAGACTAATAGTGTAATGCTTGATATAACAAATATTCTATATTTATATAATATATCGTCTCATTTATTCTATCGTCGAATTTATATTCTATATCGTCTTATTTAACCCATTAATACACGAACATAAATAAGTACAAACTGGTTTCAGTCTCGTGGAAACAATAAAGTTGTATAGAGTATCACCTGAGTCATTAAGATTTTACCTAAAATCTTAGAGTGAGTCTAATAATATATGGCCACATGGACAGTATGTGTGTGTGTCAAAATAATGACCCATGAGAGTTATTATTTTTTTACTATGAATGTTTTGCACTCTATAGTGAATGTTTAGAAACAATGTGTTTGATTTTAATTAAATAATAACGAATTTAATAAATTGTTGACTATTTTCAGGCTTGCATGATGTTTATGGTGGAAGACTGCATACTTAAAAAGGCAATGGGTATGATTTAATATACCACATGCAAATGTATTATTTATCTTGGTCTCAAATAAACATTCATTGACTTGATTGCCAATTCATAGTTCGCTTTTAGGGTTGAAAAGTGTGTTTTTAATTAATTAAGAATATTTTTTTTTTTGCATTGATGGAAGACATTTAATAGGAAGCGAGTTTACAGAAAGCAGCAATTTACTTAAGAGTTTGCATAAAACCGCATTTCTTAATATCTTTTATTATAAAATTTTCATTACAACTTGTACGTCCCTCATCATACACAGGACATTCGAAATGAAATTTTGATCTTAGTGAACTTCAGCACCCTCAGTCTCACCTTTGAATATTTATCCTTTTTAGAGAAACTTTGACTTACCTTAGAACATTCTTAATCCTAGAGGCACTTGGTCTTTTAGCCGACTATTTTACTTACTCTATTAGTCTTATATGCACTTAATGTGATTTTCGTATTTTTACCATTTGATGTTTTACCTGACCTTACTTTTATATGTTTTGACCTGTATTGTTGACACTTTTAGTGTGGGTTAATTTTACTCACTTAGGTGTTTTAAGCGCTTTTAACTTTGTTTTGAGGATTCTGTGTTATTTTTTATCATCTTTTCGATTTCGAGATTTTTCCCTACGTGTGTCAATCTTTTTGGTTTTGATTTTACTTGACTGTAATTTTGTAGTGTTTAGTTCACGTGACAACGAGTGAAATCCTTATCCGAAAACTCCTTCGGGGGTAGGCCGGTTACTATTAGTCTTATGTTTTTATTATTAAATTTTATAGGGTGTGTTAAACGTGATATAATACAATACTTACAACTTGAACGTTTTTTTTTTTAAAAAATACGAAAAACAACTTCTAACCAGTGAGGGAACAGGCATGTTCCTTTACTGAGCATAGATTTCCCAGTGAATGAACAGTATGTGTTAATATGTTGACACTTTAATTTTTAATTCATGATTACAAAAAAAGGTTAACATTTTCCAAGTATTTATACGTTATAATTTCAAGAATAGGCTTGTTTTTAAATTTTGTGTGGCTTATAAATTCTTAAAGAGCATTAAAAAATAACCAAAATTAAGTGTTCCTTTACTGGGTGTTCATTCACTGGTAAGAGCTGTTCCTTCACTTGATCTTCTTACTACCTCTACCATTTTTTAGCATAATTTGCAATTAGTAACAAATATGTTGACACTGTCACTTAACTAAAATTAAGAATTTTGAAATTAATATGATTTTTTAAAAGGCAAGTGAAGCTTAAGTGTTCCTTCACTGGTTAGTTTACCCTACCTGTTTTTTTTTTTTTTAAATTTTTTTTTAACAACTATTATAAATAATCATCCAGAGTAGACTGTTATAGGTCGACAAGCACTGATTTGAATAGCTCTCTCATTTTATGAAAGCAGACATTTTCAGGGTTGTTAAAAAATAGAACTTTTCTTTCTTAAGCCTGCTGTTTGTGTCGCTTTGTTAAAATGGCAAGAAGGGAACATTTCTCTAATAATACCCGAATTAAATAAAAACGTACACACTTAGAAAAATATGCTTTCCTTAAAAAAAAAAAGAAGAAGAAAATAGCGGTCATTTTTAACAAACAAACAATTCTCGTTTTATTTTGAGTTGTAAATTCAATAGCAAACTTTTCATAATATCCCTATCAGGAGAATAACTTCATTGGGCCAATATTCCATGAATCTTTAAAGGACCTTTATTTTTCCTATATTGGCCCTTATCTAGTACTAAAGAATGGAAATANGATATTTTTCGTCAGCATTATGGTCGGTGAGAGGCGGGTGCGGGATTCAAACCCGATTCACCTCAGTGGAAGGCAAATGCTCCATCCCATGAGCCACTACGGCTGTAACTGTAATTTATTAAATAATAATAATAATAAACAAGGTGAGGAATGAACGAAAATAATGGAAATACTTATCGAAAAATTCCCTAAAACAGGGGTGGCGAACCTTTGTTCACCAACGTGTCATTTTTTTCTAAAAAATTGTTTAATTTGGTCAAACAGTTTTGACTTCGTGATTATTGGGAAAATAATAACACTAAATACTATCAACTCAAAACTCTTTATTTACTATGAAAAAGAATACATTTAGCAATGTCTCAGTTATACGCGTAATTCAACTTAAAGTAACATCAGTGTGACCTCTGTTGTTAGATGTGATTTGTTATTAGTTGTGATTAGATGACAAATAACTTATATTAGTTTGTAAGATGTTATTTTAAGCAGGTCTGTTGATTTTTTTTTTGCTAGTTATTTATTGTTAGCTTGTTTTTTATGTTAATTGTTTTTTGGCATTAATTCGTAATTTTTTGTTAATAATTGTTTATTTTTTTATGTTTGTTTTTGTGAATTTTAATTTAATTGGTAAATTGCTTTCACAGTGAACTTCGTGATCGGTGGCGTGCCCAAAATATTATGTGGTGTGCCATAAATGGCACGCGTGCCATTGGTTCGCCATCCCTGGCCTATACATTCCCTATCCAAATGATGAGACGCACTACTAGATTCTATGTGAAATCTTAATTATCAGGTGATATTCCATAATACAGCTTTATTGTTTGGACACGTGACTTGTTGACGTTCGTGTATCAGTGGGCGATATATAATTATTATATCAGGTATTATATTATAATAATTAGACCCAAATATTAGACGCACCCTAGTTTTTTAATAATTAAGTGTTTTGCACGATGGCAATACTCTTATATTTAAACATACATGTATTTCGATTTTATAGTGGAGATTTTTGATATACTTCCCATTTTCAACGTATTGCATTAACCCATTGATAAACGAATGCAAACCCATTTCAGTCGCGTCAAAACAATGCTGTATGGAATATCACCTGATAATTAATCATGGAATCAACGGGTACTCATTTGGCCTGTATATTGGCCAATGTAGGCCTTATATAGTCCCACCTCAATGCGTGTTCTTATAGGACCCATATATATATAGACAATTTTGATTCTGTCTTTCCAACAAGCGACTTCATATTCTGAATAAATTGACTTTGCTTTTCGAAGGAGAAGAATTATTCCCTTCCAAAAATGACCACAAAAGAGAGTCATAAAAATGAACGGGGCCACACTTTAGTGATCAAAGGCTTAACAAGAAAGATCTCACCTGGAAGTGATTTACGATCCACCTTTCTTTCTACCCATTGACCGACCATCTGACCTCCCCCTTCAATCATTTCATAGCATTTTTGATTTATAAGGTGGTCCATTTGGCAACTGCGTGTTCACAGTTTTTCTACCTATGATTGGAATGCAAGTAGTGGCGTAGTTTTGTATAGTTCTAATATAAATATATATTAGAATGTAAATACGTTTTCTTTAGGAGTTGAATGGAGGGGAAAAAGCTGCTTGATTGAAGTGAATTGTAATAAATAACAACTTTACAAATATATCATTGTATTTTAATACATTTTAAAAGAGATCCCTTTAACAAATTCATCTACTGACTTAAAAGAGTAAATTTCTTTCAATAAAAAATGTTCGAAATATATTTTTTATTTAGATTTTAAAATCATTTTTTTTAATCCTGAAAAGTAACTAAATGTATGAAAAAATATGTAAATAAAGTTAAATTTAAAGATTTATTTCTCATAAAAAAACCACCCCATATTTGAAATTTAAAAATGATATAAAAGGAGCTAGAGCGATTTTTAACACTAGATTGCCTAAGGAAGTCATTTTGACTGCTTTTAATTTCAATTAGGAAAACAATGATGTATATAATGACACAATTTCTCAAAATTTTGTGACTTTTTGTTCATCATATAATTTCTTTTTATTGTTAATATTTACTAATAACTTGTTATATAACTGTAAATAATATAAAAAAATCTTAACAATTTATTTTAAACAATTTTATTGACGCATTCAATCCAATCATTTTGACTGCTTTTGACCAATATAGGTATATACTAATTTTCCGACTTTCTAGTGTTAATCATGACATTAAGAAATCGAATCTTTAAAAGTAATTAACGAAACTGAATCAACGTTTTTTTTTTTTTAATGTAATATTTCAAGATAAAATTGATGAAAACTATGCCATTCACTTTCAACTTAGCATTCTAATGTACCATTTTCGATATTGAAAAGATAACTCCGCAGCTTCCGATCAGGAGGCACTGAAAAGGGTATCGTAACCACTTTATTGCAACTAGACACCGCATAGTTGCTGCCATGGGGATTGGGCCTATCCGTTGGAATAAAATGAGAAATCTCACAAACTAATGTTACGATTGGTTAGATTTAGAAATGATTGGATACCAGAGGAGGTTATTTTATGTTCATTTTTTCTCATTGGAAAGCGCAAAATAAATCAAAATAATGCAGAGGTTATCAGTACTTTCGCAGCAATTAAAAGAATATTTTGTGGATTCATTTTAATTTTTGAAAGCAAAAGGCACTCCATTAGACATCATGTACTGCATGAAATAACTGCCGCGATTAAAAAACAAGTCTGTGAAATCCACACTCTGCCTCAAGACTTACAGAATATGAAGAAGAAAGTTATGAAATGTAAGGCAATAATCATTTTAAAACATTCAAACAACTTATCGGTATCAACCTGACAACACCCTGTTCATTCCTTCCTCTTCTTCTCTACGTCTGAATGCAAAGAAAGATAGCATTAGGTTATAGCTATTATATTCCTTAAACAAAACAATATATGGCCAATTTATTATTAGACACACTATAAGTTCTACGTGAAATCTTAATTATCACGCGATACTATGTATAGTTTTTACGCTGGCTGAAACCAGTTTGCACCTGTTTACGTTAGTGTATAATTGGGTTAACTTTGTAATCCAATACGTTAAAAATAAATACAAGTAGGAAGTATATAAAAAAATCTTCTGAATAAAAACCCATGACACGCATGTTTAAATATAAAAGTATTGCCTTTAAACTCGTGCAAATCATGTCATTATTAAAACACTGAAGTGGGTTTAATCATTGGGTTTAATTATTATCATATACTCATATAATACCTGATATATTCCATATTTAAATTATATATCGTTTAATGTATCCTATCG